GTTAAAAAAAAAAAAAAAAAAGAAAGAAAGCAAATACGGGGACCACCCAGCGTACGTGCAGTCGTTGGGGGTCGTCCATGCAAATAATTATTAATTTATTATTATTAATGATTCTTTTTTTTGCCTAAATTGCTGTTATGGCCTCGGTATCTCAAACTTTTATACTTCTATGTACTTTTTCATAGGGGACGCTGGGCCCGGTTCCCAGCACGTGCTGCTCCCCACGAATAGATTGGAGCCTTGTTTTCAAAAAAAAAAAAAAAAAAAAAAAAAAGATTCTTTTTTTTAAAGGCTGCCTTCTCCTCATCGGCGGGGGACAGCCGTATATCCATATATCTTTCTCTCACCTCACATGTATAGCCTTGGGAGAAGTGGTAGGTAGGTAGTGAAAGATGAAAGAAGGATATGTTCCATGATGACGTGGCAGAACACCTGTTACCAATAATTATTAATTATTAATTATTAATTAATCCTTTCTAGTATTCTCTTTTTTTTTTTTTTTTTTTTTTTTTTAACACCCCTCTGGTCGTCCCAAATTACAGTCGGAAAAGGAAAAATTTACGTAAGGAAGGTGGGTCGTGCATTTGGACCGAATACGACTGCGATTACGACCAGATTCAGTTCGGTCAAGATGAAAGTCAAAGGTATGTCAGATATAAGGCAGACGTCACTCCGGCGGGGGCCAAGTCCCACATGCACCGTTAAGTTCAGCTAGCTCAACGCTGTGACACCTTTACTGTCTTTTTTTTCTTCGTTAGAAAAGTACTGTAATAATTTTTTTTATGTCGGGTACACAACATTTCTTTGGATTTTTTTGTTTTCTTCTTTTTTTTGTGGAGCACAATCGATCCGTGTCACTTGGTCCATTAGGAAAGTCGGCTGGTCTGACAGATTCCCTCTGTGTGTGTGTGTGTGTGTGTGTGTGTGTGTGTGTGTGAGAGAGAGAGAGAGAGAGAGAGAGAGAGAGAGAGAGAGAGAGAGAAGACGACCATTCGGTGAAAACGTGGAATTCAAACCGATGTCGACTTTGTGAACCTGAACGTGAAGTCGTCCAGATTCAGGGGCACATGAAGAGACAGAAAAGCCGGGGATGGAATAAGTGTTTCTTTAGAAAGCACATTTCCGAGACTCAACGGATTCCTGACAGCTAAACCGTCAGCAATGGATGGTATAACAAACAAAAGAAGCATTAATTAACAACTAGTAAGTTGAATTAACACGATTATGCCTTTCTCGGCCTTGTGGCTGAAAATAGATCAAGTGCACTGTATCTGTTCCCATCAGTTTATTACTATCTGATCTGTGGTCCACCAAAAAAAAAAAAAAAAAAAAAAAAAAAGACAAGGAAGTATTACGTAATTAACAAATTTTTGTCTTTGTTTTTTTTTTTCCGATCGATCGCGCTTCTTTTCTTTCTCAATTAATCTATTGCTTTTTTTTCCTTTTTTTACCTTTTTGAAGAAACAAATCGATAAATGTCAGTGTATGTACCATACATGTATGTATATTTACATACATACATATATCGTACATGTATGTATATATGTACGATATATGTATTTATGTATATATGTATATATGTATGTATATATAGATCGTCAAACAGAACTGCCCGGTAGGTAAACCGTCGCCAGAGAGGGAGAAGAGGACAACAATAAATTTAGCCTCGGGATGAGTAGGAGAGGTGAAACTCAGACCGTCGTTAAAAAAAAA